AATAAACATTGTATATTATGTGTAACTGTGACAGCAAGATTTGCAGCAGACACGCACTGCATTGTAGGTTCATGAGTCGAACTGTACGGCTGTGGAAAGTGATATGTGGTCTGCCTGTGTTATATATTAGAGCTGCTGTCAGCCGCTAACCTTCTCCGTGCAGCTCCAGTGACTGATGATTGCTGTGTTCCTACTCAGGGTTAAATAAAGACTCTGCGATCTGACTGTTTCCGCACAACTCCAGGAGATTTGCAATCACGAAACGTTAAATATATTCCGAAAAGGCGACTTTATTATTTTCCCAGTGCGTTCGTTTCTGTTCATCGCAATTTCCATCTCAAGATGTTGCAGACATTTATCCTTCCCCGCCTGTTTCTCTAAACCCCTTCACTCCGCTTGCACATGAATCTGAAGCTGACAGAGGAGACTGTAAAGTCAAGCAGCCACAGAGTTGATTCAGTGTATTATTTGATCCGATCAGTCTCAAGTTACACTTTCTATCTTGTTCATTTTCTTTCCAAAGCTTTTCCAGGGCCAAGGACAACCTTTAATTTAACTGTTCTAAATATTGAGGCTGTGTGTCTGTGTAATACTTGTTTTAATCAAGTGAAAATAGTATAATGTTGCCTTGGTAGCACAAGGGGAACGCATCTTCTTGCCTCAGCTGCAATGGTCAAGAGTTCAGTTCAATGCAATGGTACCTTTGGATTTGATTTGTTGCAATGAAGACAGTTTGTAACCATGAAGGTGATGATGTCCTTCTCTTCCTACTGTAGTTGTATTGTAGAGATTTAAGAGAAAATACATTAAAACATTAAAAAAAAATGAAGAAACCTGGAATCAACATGTACATTTTTCCCAATTCTACCAACACTGAGGAGAAAATAAATTTTTAAAAAAAGACTCTGCATATTGTAGATATTTTACTATTTATATTTGCATGTGTTTCCATCCATGGCCTGCATAAACACAGCCTGCAGTTCAACCCATTTTAGTTTAAAAGCCCCTGATTTGTTCCATATGTGGATGTTCAGATTTGCACAGATTCCTCTGGACGTTGAAAATAATAACACAGCACAAACCAGTGTTATTGCACAGATTCTACTGTGCATACAAACGCTGATATAACAGAAACTGATATTGCAAAGATTCCTGCAAAAGGTAGAAAAATATATATTTATTGATATTCAAAACATTCATGATGCACAGGTTGAATGTGTTGATGTCTGTTTCTCCATGTGTGGGAGCAGTGCAGATTTAATTTGGATGGTTTTCACAGATGAGTAGATAAAAGACCATCAGAGAGTTAAAAATCTTTTCGATTCTTTGCGTTTTTTCCGTTTCTGGCTCTAACAAATGGTGCAATTTTGGCTTTTTTTTTAAAATATATAACTTGCTTGCAGTTTATGGGTTCAAAGAGTTAAAACTTGAACCCAGTTACATCATTTTCACAAAGCAGCTTAGATAATGTAAAATTAATTTGTCCCACAGTCATTTTGAAATATTTAAATTTAATTATGTGTTGGTTCTCTGTTGATATACTACATGTTGCGCATGAACCAGCTCTAGGAAAATGCACATATGCCCTCTTGTGCACCCGCACAGCGCTGCTCTTTTGTTGAAGGGTTAGTTGCTCTCAGCCACCAATCACCTCCAATCTTGGTAGGTTTCAGTGGGATGTCAGAGAGGGAATCTTTTGGCGTAACTCTGACCGGATCTTTGACCCGAGAGGCTGAGAGCGGGCAACCCTCCAGGCAGCTGTCACGTCTTATTACCTACAGTGCAGCAGGCCAACAGCACAGCTACAACACACACTGCTAAACGGATCAGCCCGACTCTCCCTTATATTTGTACACAGATAAGCGTGTGTGTGCTGAAGACAGAGGCTCTCACAACAGGGCTGCAGCAGCACAAACATGATCAGAGCACGAGATCAAGTCTAACATGTCTTCCTACATCACCCTAACAATTTTACCTCAGCCCATCTCTTCTTTAGCTAAAATTCACACCATTTTCAGAAACCCTGTTTTCTCTCATCTTGTTTGTTTGTGCAAACCCTGAATAGCAAAGTCTGGAATTATGCAGACAAGCATCCATTTCTCTTTTCTTTCTTTTTTTTTTGTTGTTGGAGAAGAATATGTATTAGGGATAAACACAACTTTCTCCAAAGGAAAAACTTTGATTAAATAAATATTCAGACATTTTGGAAAATTGCCGTCTTTCCGGGAGTTTGCTCAGAAGATCAATATTATCAGTCAGAAGCATCTCGGGCAGATCAGATAGCTGTCTGCCTTCGTAAAATGTCAAGTACGAATGCAAACAAGAAATGAGACGGACTGGTATTCAGCTGAGAAACACAATCTACACTGATGATGAAAAGATGCGTTCGTCTCTATAAATAGACCTCCACCGGCTCCAACTTTTAGTATCTTGTTAGCTAATGACAGTACATGGAAGTGAAAGGCATATAAAAAGATGAAACTGATACCATTTTCATCCGACGTGAAGTTAAAAAACAAACAATTTGGGGTTTGTTTTTTTCCCAGTTCTGTTGGTTTTATGTGTCATTCACGAGTCTAAAACAGATCCTATAGAAAATAAGCAGCTTGTTTATAAGCAAGATGTAACTTCACTTTTATCACTGTTGGCTTCCATCTAGTTTCATTTCAACTAGTCTTGATTCATTTGCATTCATTTACTGATATGTTGATGTGTCTGATGCATGATTGAAATACCGTCTTTATTTCTAAACTGGTGTGAATCATACTCATGAAGTATTTGATGCTAATCATTGGACCTGGTTCAAACCTGTGAAGTTTATCAGCTTCAATTATTGGTATGATTTGAGTGAAAGTTTAACCGGCAGAATCTGGTAGACACATGGCCTGTTACTCTCTTGGTGTTTTTAAAGCTGTAGCTGTAATTAAAGGTCCCATATGACGAAAACCCATCTTTATTGGGTTTGGTATGTCTTAGAACCTTGGAAATGTTCTGTAGAAGCTGTGAGAATATGAAAGCATTTACTGCTGCCCTTCCTACCACAACAATTAGAAAATCTTTATTGGTAGCATGTTGCGCAAGTAATGAGTCTTAAAATGAGCTCTGATTGTATGTCCACAGGTCAGAGCTGTGTGGAAGCTGTAACGCTGGGGGATAATCAGATATAGTCCAAACTTAAAGACTCATCTGAAACCAATAAACAAAGGCTGGGTGGGTTGCTGTACTTGCAGCACTTCAGTGAAACCAAAGCTTGATGATTTTGCTTCTGTTTACTTCTCTCCTGCTCACTGTGCTCACATGTTCTGCATTTTAATACAGTTGAATTCCAGGCACTGCTATAGCTCACCTGGTTGAGCTGGCATCTCATGTACGGGGTCTATAGTCCCCCGATGCAGAGGTCATGAGTTTGAATCCCACTCATGGCCCTTTTCCGCAAGTTCTTCTCCCCCACTTTCGTGTCTCTCTCTGAACTGCACCCTCAAACAGAGACAAAAATGCAAAAATAATAAATAAATAAACAAAATACAGCTGAATTCCAAATAAATGGCAGCCAAGCTCCTGCTCTTCAGCACTAAACTAACTAAAAAACTGACTTTTATGACTGCAGTCGTGTCTGACAAACTCACCGAATACGTAAAGTGAAACCAAGCGCTTTACTGTAAACTTTCATGTCTAATGGTCGTTCAGAGAGAAGGTTAGAAGCAACAGAAACAGTTTTTCTGCTCACTATCAGCCACGGATGCAGAGAGTCTTCCTCCTGAAGGGGTGTGGACAACTGCAGCTCAACTGTATATAGAAGCTCCAGACACTGAGACAGCCTGTTTAGAAGAGGACTGAGAACAGGGGTTATACAGCCATGGTAAAATTAACCATGTCTGGCATATTTTGAACTAAAAAAAAAAACCCATTCCGAGAGCATGTGTTCATTAATTTGCTGAAAAGGGCCACAATATGGGGCCTTTAGGGACAAAAAAAAGTGCACTTAACACTTGCCGGATGACGTGGACAAAACACAGAAGATTTAAGTATAGAAAACATTTGATTAAATTTAATTTTTCCATATTTTAAAGGTCTGCATACAGATCAGCCCTGATACAATATTTAAAATTTGCTTGGAGCGTCTGTCTTTTCAATTTAGCTCACAAACTGTCATGAAAAACACACAAAAAAAATTTGTATGATTATCTGAACCTGACAGACCACACAGATGCTCTATAGACTGACAAAACTCTACAAGCAACCCACATGCAAGAACTCTTGGAGGATCCGTTACATCATATGAGTAATGCCTGCTGGTCAAGTTGCAAACTGCTGCACTTTTTCCTCGTTGATTTGCTTGAGGTACCCACAGACATGACAGTTAATGAGGACTTCCTTTGCCAGCTTTCACTGTTTTCTATGGTTTGCATTTAGGTGAGTGAAGATGTGGCTGAAGGTCACACTTTAACGAAGGTGTGTGTGTGTGTGTGTGTGTGTGTGCAGGTTGGCTCTTTTTTTTTTTTTACAGCCAGAAGCAAGAGAGCTGCAGATGAGCAGCAGAGCTCACACCATACATAATGGATGAGAGAGATTTACTCTCCGGAGAAGGTGCAAAGACCCAACACCTCTGGGCTCGGCTCGTGTATGCACGCTGCACGCCGGAGACAAAGCGAGCCGAATAGAAACAGCAGAACGAGCGAGGGGAAGAAATAGAAAAAAGTGCACAATGGAAACAACTCTGCAGCCAAATGGTGTGATTTCTAAAAGACTTTGATCCCCGCTGTGGCAGACAGGTGGCAGAGATGCTGGCGGTCTAATGTGAGCAACCGCTGACCCGGCTCTGCTGTTGTGGCGCCGGTTTGTTCTGATTGGATCCAACCGGCGCCGTTGCAGCCAGCACAGATCAAAGAACGGGCAGAACGTCGGATGACACAAATGAGCCGAAGTTTCACTTTCATGTTTGCTGCCAGGTAAATAAGTTGGACTGATACCGACGCCGCCGTGTGTGTTTGTGTCCTCAGATATCGACGAGTGCGCCGAGGGCCTGATTGAGTGCCACAACCACTCCCGCTGTGTCAACCTGCCTGGCTGGTACCACTGTGAATGCAGAAGTGGTTTCCATGACAATGGCTCCTACCTGCTCGATGGGAGCTCCTGCATTGGTGAGCATACACTGAATTGAAAACATCCTTATCGCCGCTGGAAACACCAGCTCCTCGGCCCCCGTGTGCCCACCTCCTAGCAACTATCCCCCCTGTCCTTCCTCCTCCTGTGTCCAATTATTGAGGAATTCTGAATACTGTCTCTGCCTGCCTTTCCCTTCAAGTCCCGTCTCTCTGGTCTTCTACATGATTGCTTTCTTTTATCCTCTGCAAATCTAAGACTCAAGGCTGTGGTTGGTAATTTGCAGGTAGAAACAAACAACCGTGCATCTAAGTGAAAACTGAGCTACTTTTCTTAAAAGTGAACGCTTTTATGTCTAAAAGGTAATTTAAAAAAAGTGAAATTCAACATAAGAGACTCAAAGTGAGGATGTTGTTGTGGCAAAATGTTTTGCGACTCATTGATTACTTTGGTAATAGTGTTGGGAATGATTAGAGAACAGAGAGAGACAAGCCGACAAAGAGAGACTTTTTAATCCTCGCAACTGTTTTTGTGCGATCGCT